TTTGAGGGGGTTTTGGCAGTGTGCTCCGTGGCTGAGGCACTGCAATAACATGGATGCTTTACCACAGGATGTCTCCGTGGGTAACCCACAGCAGGGTGTGCTGTGTGGCTAATATGACCCACAAAACTTTCAACGGGTTCAGTTGGAGGCGGGACTATATCGCGCCAAGCCACCAGTGTGGCTGCGGCCGTATATAATGTATGTGAAGCAATATGAGTGTTCAGAAGGGTACCATAAATATAAAGGTTATGTATATTATTGAGGCTGCCAAGTCATATCCTTGGTGAAAAGTGCTCTACCACCCTCCGACCCTTCTTAATGGACTCTTCCTACTGCCTGCCCTGCAATCGTTCTTTCTCCTATTTATATATAAAAATAATCTAGAATTTATACAATTATTTGGAATGCATTTACAACTTTAACACATGAAGCTGCACACCTCTCCCTATGACCATTCATCTACCTAGTTCAGAACTGCATACTCTGACAGAGTCATAGATAGTGGTTGTTCAGATCATCTATGAACTGATTCTTTAACTAAAGAAGAAGAAGAGGAAGAGATTAGATTCATACCCCACCCTTCACTTGGAGTCTCAGAGCGGCTTACAAACTCCTTTCCCTTCCCCTCCCCACAACAGACACCCTGTGAGGTGGGTGGGGCTGAGAGAACTCTGGCACAAACTGCTCTTTTTCAAGGACAGCTGTGCCAGAGCTTGTGACTGACCCAAGGTCACATCAGCAGGTGCAAGTGGAGGAGTGGGGAATCAAACCCGGTTCTCCCAGATTAGAGTCCGCACACTTAACCACTACACCACACTGGCTGTAGGGGATTGAACCCAGGGCCTTCTGCATGCAAAGCAGATACTCTACCACTGAGACTTCAGGCTACAGGGGGTCACACTCAAACAGAATCTATGAATAGGTTATTTCCCTCTAACTCATTTTCTAACCTCTGCAGGATTTGTCTTTCACATGTAGTGAACATGAATCATTGTTTCATGTTTTTTTAAAAAATTCATAGGCCTGTAATCGTATGTTTTAGTTGTATAAAAAACCATGAGGATTGGAACTTTTTATTAAAAACAAAGCAAAACAAAATGCTAAATTGTTTCTACCTTGCTTGCCATTCAGCTCCAGGATTTCTCTAGACTTGACGGAACTTTTTCCCATTATCAAGTGGGTAATAAAACTTCATAGTGTCAGTATCCTCTCAGGGGGAGTCTATCACTCTTTTCTCATTAAAAGGCAAATGATTATTCTCAGTTATCATGTTGAACAAGAAGTATTGGAACTGAGAAGCCTTTTAAAATATGCTTTTAAAATTAGAAATAAAATAGATAAAGCAAGACTTGTTGCTTTGATAGATTCCTGTTGGACATGAAAACTTTCATTAGATACTTATCTAACTGATCAACATGGTGTCTGCCCACACATATAAGTTACTAGCTTCTGTGTAAGTGCTGTATTAAAGACTTTGTTTTGTAGCCATGCTGCAGTGATGGAAGATAGAGCTTCTTCTCAGAATGCATGTATGAGAGGAAAGAGCAATATTTGAGCACTCTCCATTTTACCTCTAGTCTACATATGCATGCCTTGGAAAAGTAATCTTGTGCATGGAAACTCTGCACATATCCCTTCTTTGATTGTTGATGTTATATTTATTTCTGGTTTGTGGTTTATATTTTTAACAAATCCTCAGAATAACAAAAAAAGTTAGCATTGGAGAAGCTCATGTTAGCATTATACTATTTTCATGGCACCTTTTTAATCGTAACCACATAAGGTCTGCATTTATAGCTCATCAGACAATTCTGTGTCCCCCCTCCCTGCATTTATCCTGTAAAATGTTATGAAGCTTATGACATTTTCTAGGTTTAAGAGAAATCCATGGAGCAGAAATGAGCCTTTGTTGAAAGATCATGCTGACAAGCGGACTCATTTGCTTCAGTCATTATTTAATTATCCCACCCAGGAGATCTGCATGGTGTGAAAGGTGGTGGTGACTTACTTATTTGTATCCAGAAGTGCTAACAAATGTCTACTCTGATAACACTAATTGAAATGCTGGGATATTAGCATAGGAGTCTGACAGTTTTTAACGCATACTCAAGAGCATTTCAACTGCAAGAGGCAGAGGCAGGTGAGCCAGTTAACATATGAACAAGTGTCCTATAACTGCTAATCCATTTGGCGATAATTGTAATGCCAAGTATCTTTATGACATTGTTTCGTGTTCTGGCTGATCTCACCAGGGTATTGATGTGTAATTGAAAACCCATCCACACATCTCTTTTCTCTGGTCATATGCTCTAAAAAAAAAAAAAGTCCTGAAATTTAATTTGTGTTGTGTCTGTTCTTGTTTATATCTAGAAACCTAATAAAAATAGAAAGAGGAACAAAAGAACCTGACACAAATAGCTCATGGCTTGTCTCCTTGGCTAGTAACCTTCCTTTTCATACCAAAATAGGTATTAACATAGGGATTTAGGGTTCAGGGATGCTTGGTGGGACCATGACACAATTTTATATTATACTGACCAAAACAAATGGATAGAAACACAAAGCCAATAAAAGTACAACTACATTTGCCCTTTAGGCAAGAGCTTTTCAGTTCCGCAACATCAATGGGAACACACTATTGAGAAAAAAGGGTGACAGCATTATGGGCCATTCACCATTTATATTGATGAAGCAGTCAAGCGACCCTCCAAAGGTCATGGTGGTGACAAGGAAAGAACGCTCAGACAAAACTCAGTGTTCTTTATATGGGAGCATCATATATAAACTGACTGCTGCCACTGGTTAGATTTGAGGGCTCTAGGGCAATGTTTGCTCTCAAGACTTTGTGCAGAGTTAAATGTCTGTATATTGTTTGACCTTTATTCAGTTTGTTTGACCTTTATACAGTTTGCTAGACTACTTTAGATCTTGTAAATCTAATGCATAATAAATGTTGAATATTTTCATCACATTATAGAACTGTAATATATTTCCTGCAGACTGCAGCTGAGCTAGTCCAGCAGAGGCTCAATAGCAAGTGTGGGAAATGTCTTGAAACGCATCACACTTCTTACAAGACTCAGCTTTTTTTTTGGTGCTAGCATGCTCCAGTGGTTGACGCCCCATGGCATCCTGACATTCAGCTAGTGCATGAGGATAAAGACAGGCCAGTGATCCCCATGTACTAGCTGAACATCAATGATTATTCACATAAAGTCTCCCTCCCATGACTGGACTGGTTCATCACGCAAGTGACCCAAGCCACCACTTGGGCTGCCAAGCTGGTGGAGAATGACAAATGTGGCAGGGGGAGGCCTATAAGGCATGTATTTGTTGTCAACCTCTACAATGCCACTGTTCTCACCTTGGGTCCAAAGTGGGCTGCCTGGGTAGCATGAGAGAAAATGTGCATCTTCTCTCATATCTGTTGCCTCAGATTTATCCAAGGCAGGCTGCAGAGAAAGTGGTCTGGATCCTTCTGGCAGCAGCAACCCAAGAGAGGCATATACCTCTCGTCTTGTGTCTGCATGTCTCCTTTTGTGTCTGCTACCTCAGATCCATTCAAGGTGGGCTGCAGAGAGAGGAGCCTTCCTTTGATCCTGCTGAGTAGAGGGATCAGCACAGCTAGAAAATGGTTGGGACAGTTCATTAGCTTGAGCTAGCCCGTCCCCCAGTTTTCACAGTATAAATAATAGTAGAAATCTTCCTCTATCCAGAGTCTGCTCCACATGTAACACAGAAAGGAATTATGTGAAACCAACACATAATACATTGTTGGGATTCTCTAATGGAAGAGGTAGTGATAATGGTCACTAATGTAGATGGTTTTAGAAAGGAACTAGACAATTAACTGTATATTAGCCTTTATAGTTAAATGGAACCTAGTTTCAAAGGCCCTATTCATCTAAATACCAAGATAAACAACAAGAGATGGGCATGCCTTGCTTGTGAGTTCTCAGGTTTCCCAGAATGCTAGACTAAATGCACCCTGATGTTCTGCTGTCATAAAGGTAAAGGTAAAGGTTCCCTTGCTCGAAAGGCAGTCGAATCCGACTCTAGGGTTGCGGTGCTCATCCCCGTTTCAAAGCCGAAGAGCTGCCTGAAGACGTTTCCGTGGTCATGTGGCCGGTATGACTAAACACCAAGGCGCATGGAATGCTGTTACCTTCCCACTGAAGTGGTACCTATTTATCTACTTGCAATTTCTTGCTTTCGAACTGCTAGGTTGGCAGGAGCTGGAACTAGAGATGGGAGCTCACTCCATCATGCGGGACCCGGGTCTCGAACTGCTGAACTACTGGCCTTCCACAGCCTGCAGTTCAGCGTCTTTAACCACTTGAGCCACCGCAGCTCCATATTGCCGTCATATTGTCATGCTATTTTCCAAGTACAAATTATTCATGCTTCTGTTTTTCACTTCTGTTTTTCTGCCCACATCCCTTCCCCTTTGTGAGTTCTGTAAGTTCTAAAGAACTCCAGGGGTTCACAGGCCCTTTCAGGTGAGATTTGTAAGTCTTCCCTTGGATACCACAGCAAAGTTTGGAATACAAAAGGGCAAGGCACTCGGCCCTTTGAAAAAAAATACATTTGTGTAATGTGCAGCCTGGGAGATGTGGCAGCACTCTTTCTTTCAGTGGTAGCGAGCATTATCTCCTTTGCTCTTGAGAGTGAGAACAAATAAATCCCTAAACATTTATGATACGTGGCTGATGAGTCTCAGATATTATGGGTTTTCATCTAACTTTTGGGATATGCTTACTGAACTCATTTTGCAAATTTTTGCTTTCTCATTCTGATTGCACAGAAACTGTAACCCCATGTCTCAGAGATCTTACTGTAGCTTGAATCTCAGCATTTTTAAAGTACCTCCTTTTGCAAATGTTCTTATTTAAAGCACAGCTAGGTTAAAATAATTACAGGGGTGAAACATTCAGTGCAAAATTCTCTTCATTTATCTATAAATAGTGTTGAATGAAGTGTTTTGTGTTTCATCATTACAGATCGTTAAGCTTGGAAAAAATGGGGTAGGATATCACTACATTCTTGCAACACTGGTAAGTCAGATCTTGCTTGTTTCTCATTCCCGGTAATATAATTTTTTGATAAGTGCCTTTTTTAATTTGTTGAACATTTACTGTGTCAGTAAAATATAGGATCTTCAAGGTGGTTTTCTATATTTGTAATTGCTTTTTGTGGGGCAAGATATTTTTTCATCCAGTTGTGCATAATGGCTCATAAAGATGTGCATATTGCTGCATGATTTGACAACAACTGTTTTTTAAGTGCAGTGTAAAGCCAGACTCATTACTAGAGATATGCATTTTTTAATTTTCAGGTTACATTTAATTTCAAAAGTGAATTTTCTTGTATCTGTGATTATATGTGCTTGCAATAATTATTATATTTGGCTTTATTTCCATTGGTAGTGAAAAACATTTTCAGCTACATCTTTGTTTTCCATCCAGTTAGAATAATATTATGTCTTTACACTTAACGGTTCCTCCCAACCAAAGTTCAACATAGGGTAATGCATGAAATGACTGGCAGCAATTAATTTGTTGTTATTCCCACTTGCTTTTGTTACGCTAACAATGTAACCAGTGGGCCAATTCAGACAATACAAAGTCCTTGTGGAGGAAACAGGGACTAGCAAGAGATGTACACTTGGAGTTCCATGCTAGGAACTCAATTCCCAGGCTCACATGGGTCTACTTCAAATTGGGGCCATGGTGCATGAGAAACATGGATTTAAGCATTCCTCTCTATACCATTTTCCAAACCAGAAATGGTTCCAGGGAGCCCTTTGGGGAAACTTACATTTATCCATCACTAGATGTAAGTCTCACCAATTCTGCAAATAGCAACTCTCTGGGGCCATTTTAGGCATGGAAAATGGTGAGGGGACTTAAGTCCCTTCTCCCTGCATGCCATGTTTCCTGTTCAGTTTGGGTCCCCACACTCCTGGCAACTGAGTTCCTAGCACAGAATGCTGGACACATGCCTGATCTGAAGTCCTCATGAGTGGCATGTGGCTGCCACAAAAACTGTACAATATATGAATCCACCCTGAACCTGACTGTGTTTTTGTGTAGTAGAACTTAAAGATCCTTTTCAAACTGCCTTTGTATTCCGTTTTAGTAACTGGTTGCTAATGGATTTTTTCTGACATTTCAGACAGACCCATTGTAGTAACTGGCTGCTAGTGGGATAGCAAAGCATGGTTGAGCCACTTTTGAGGGAAACGGCTTTTTTCCATTTTCAAACCCTTCTGAATCACTGTGGTGTGCTGTCTAAAATGTCCCTAGTGCTTCCCACAATGACACTTTCCCCCCACCCTTTTTTTACCTTGCAGACTTCCTCAAACTTTTAAAAAACATTCTGAGGTGAGCGCTATAGTGTGCTATATTGACTCAAGTCAATGCATCTCAATGGTGCCACTATAGCACTTCAGTGCCACAGCATTTTAGCACTATAGCACTCACCTTGGAATGTTAAAAAAAAGTCCGAGGAAGATCACACAACGAAAAAGGGTTTGTGGGGGGGAAGTTGGCACTGATTAAAATTACCGTAGCATTTCAGAGACAGCTCATTAACAGAAGGACGTTCACTGTATGAAACCCCTGTCCCTGTATCTCTTTGCTCGAAATCAGGCCAACAACAAATAACATCCAGTTTAGAATGGTAGTGTGAAAAGAGCCATACTCTGGAAGCTACTGCCCTCTGTTGAGATCCCTGTCTGTGAATCCTGACAATCTTGCAGGGCCATGGTCTGTTCAATAAAAGACACAAAAAAGATGACCAGCCAGATTTCAGTGCACAAATATTTGGGTGGTGACTCTATTCAATTTCTAAGATTTGTGTGTGGGAATTTACTTCTATTAAAATTTCATTTCAACATTCCAGTAGAGGTAATACTCAGACACAGGAATGCACATGCAAATTCAAAATGCCAGATTTGTTTATCAACTTGGATGAAATGCATTTGACAGGTCCCTGAAGAAGACTGTTTGTTCTCCAGAAATGTTCAGTCTTTTGGTTCCTTGGTGAGACTGCCAGTGATTGTTTAAAGGTTTGTTTTTGTGCATGTCATGGCCACATGGCTTCAATATGTCCGTACTTTCAAACTCATTTAATCTAGGCCACCACACAGCTATAAAGTGGCAGTAATGACTTTTCCTCTTTACTAAATTGCACTGCTTTTCAGTCAGTGTACCAAAAGTGAAGTGTTCCGTGTCCCATTAACAATCCCAGGAGTCCTCTCAGCAGTAGAACAGATTGGGACTTCAGTCAGCTATAATATTCTAGTTACCATCTGACTCAGTGGTAAACATCACCTTATTGAAGTACTAGAACGCTCAAGAAAGAGAGGTGGGACTTTGTTTTTCTCTCTTGTGCCAGATGAAAATTAGGGCAGCATATGAGCAATATGTTAAGAACCACATGTTACACTGCTTTTAAAAAGATAACTGGTTTAGGAAAGAGATTAGCCCTTTTAATACAACTTTGCACAGAGACAGTGCACAGGGGGAAGAAATGGAATTGTGGAGCCAAGATCCACATTCACTTGAAGCTGTGTACAAGTGTAACATATAAGTACCTCTGCTCATGATCAGGAGCCTTGAAAAAGCAGGTGCCCTGGTCACAGAGAGAGAGCTCTACATACATTATATGTGTGTGAGACTTTTCACACCTTCATATGAATGTGAACATGTAAAGGATAACACTTACTACCACAATACTAACCCCTCCCTGTCTATGCATTTAGGTTCCATGGAATGCAATGTGACCAGAAGGAAGGAATGCCCTTCTGTTATCCCTCTCATTTCTGAGTCACCTGACAAAAACTGGGTGTTAATTGGTGACTGCTTTATGTTTACCCACATGCAGGGCCTATCACGGGGGGGGGGGGAGTACCATTTGGCCCAGGCCTCACATTCACCGAGACCCTCAAATTTAGATTTTTGATGTTATCTCCAAGTGAGGTTATATGTAGAATTGCAGAGATACACTGAGGAGGACTGAAAGATTTTCAGCATACAAGTTAAACACATGGCCCATTACTGGGTCACACCACCTGTAGCGCACACTATGAATTAATATTCTCCACCATCAGTGGCACCATTTCTTCATTTTTTTAATATACCAGGACTCAGGAGCCTCAAAAACTATAAGTGGGCTGGGCTGCTCTTGAACTCTGAGAGGTCAAGCTCACACACCTCCCAAACTCATGGCAACAGCCGTTCATGTAAAGACCAGTCCAAACTGTTATGTTTGTGATCTGAGAGTCTTCAATAGAGCCTTAACAAGGATCTGGCCCACTTTCCTTCACAACAGTCATTTCGTTATTGATCTATTTTAAACGTTTTGTACCTTATATTTCAACCGAAGAAGTTTGGGGGGCAGCATACAAAAAGGAGTAAAAAGCTAAATTGCAATGATAAATTGAAATAATATTCAAAAACAACGTATTTAAACCAGCAAGAAACTCTGAAAGCACCTTTAACAAAAACCTTAAAATAATCTGTTAAAAACCTGAGAAAACAGGAATGTTTTCACCAGATCCTAAAACTACAGAAAAAGGAATAGATAAACGGAGCATGTTCCATTTGCAGGACAGCAGCTATAAAGGGGAGGGGCAGAAGAACAAAGAAAGCTCATATAGCTCAGTGTCCCAGGAGGTTTTGTAATTTCTCTATAGGCTTTACCCAAAGTTCAAGCTTGTGCCCTAACTACTATGAACATATTTCAGCTTGTAGAATGGAGCTTTCTCATCTCCCCCTTCCCACTTAATTTCATTGCACCCAAAAAAACTATCCCATGGGGGGGGGAGGTGCAGAGGACCATCCACTGTAGTCCAGAGAGGTGTGGGAGTCTGATAAAAATCAGGGGTCCTTCTTTTGTATGAGTAGATCTGTGTTCTGCTTTCACAGTTTGCATCCCATCGCTTTGCAAGCAGTCCTAAGAGATCTGTGTTATTCTCTTTTCCTGTAGCTCTGCATTGAGAATCCAAACATATGGGATTCACTAATTAAATGTAACATTATCAATGTATCAAACCACAATCACCATTTTCCCCCAACTAATCCTAATTATGCTACAATTTACAAGACAAAAGTGATCACACAATTGCCTTATTACTGAGTAGTATGGACCTTGTGTTTCCAGAGCTAGTAAATACAAAATAGTTAGAATTAAGCACTCCAGAATGCTAAGGGAGAACTGATGGATGCTTTGGAAAGAAGTTATCATTGTAGTGGATCACGTAATTGTTTTTAATTAGGGCTGCTTTTCATGATACTATTTGCCTTTTTTGGATGCACTTGTTGTCCAAGTCAATCTCTGTGCATCGTCTAGTTTCTTCCCAGGTCACCACAAATAATTGAATAGCTTCCATATGGAAACTGTGTCCAACAGCTTCCATGTGGTATTCAAATGGAGAACTCAGGTACAAATAGGGTTCCCAACTTCCATGGCGGGTGTGGGTTGGAGATCTCGCAGAATTACAACTGATATCCGGAGGACATAGATCAGCTCCCCTGGAGAAAATGGCTGCTTTCAAGGTGGATTCTATGGCATTACACCTCATTGAGGTCCCTCCTAGGGATGACCATGAACAGGCTCATGAGCTATTGTTCGTCATGAATTTTGGGTGGTTTGTGATTTACGAAGTGATGTTCATGAAGTAAAGAGCTGCCACAAACTTCCAGGAATTTTAAGGCAATTTGTGGTGGTTTGTGGTAGTTTTTGAAGAGCAGAAAGCAGGCGCGACCATTTAAAACCTTGCTTTCTGCTCTTCACAAAAAATAGCTGAGTGGTAGGGAGCAGAATGTAGGGGTTTAAATGGCTTGGAGCCATTTAAATCCCTGCTTTCTGCTCCCCATGAAAAGCAGCAGGGAGAAGAAAGCAGGTTCACGAACCAATATTAATCACTTCGGATCACCAACCAACATGTAAGTCCATGGTTTGGTTTGTGGTTCAGCCACGAACTGACCTGCAAAAACCCTGACCATCTAGACTCCATATCCCAGTCTCCAAGTTGGAGTTGGCTAGGTCC